AAAGAAATTTAGTGTTAATGGGCCCCACTTAAAAACTTTACCGCACTTGCACGAGAAAATAGCCGTGAAATTTGTATAAAGTTAAAAAACAGACTAGATATAACGCTACTACCTAAGATAACTTATTCACCATATTTTGAGTCTTATCTCAGCCACTGAGTTGCTTGCATTTGCTCTCGCTAGATTTCATCTGATTTGCTTCAAACACAGGTAAATAAGAATGATATCTATTTTATGTTTAATATTGTGTAGTCCATTCGATTTCTCTTTACCTTTTTTTCCATAATCAAATTTTGATGATCTTGATTAGGGATGACAAATATACTCGTACCCGCAAGTAATACCCGAACCCGTCCCGACTTTGACGGGAAATATCCGGTTTGACCGGATATGGGTACGAGTATGAGTAAAACTCGATATATTAAATCGGGTACGGGTACGGATAGAACACGTGATCATTATTATGTTTGATAAAGCTTTTTGCTCTTCCATGAGCAGGATTCAATTCCCATTATTATTTTTGTGGTTTTTGGTTCCTTAAAAAAAATTGTAATTGAACTGATTTAACCCATTGGTTCACTGGTCGAACCGAAAAATTGACCAGTTCACTCTGGTTTGAAACGGATCGAATGCATAATTGATCCAACTCAAGGCTCAGACTGACTAGACCATCAATTATCGATTCAACTGGTCCAACTGGCTAATCCAAGCTAGTTTTTAAAACACTAAATTTAGGAAGAATATTATAGACTTAATAAAATTTAATGCAGATAATTAAATTTCTTAATATGCATAAAATATGTGTTTTTTTTTTGCTTATAATAGATAACAAAGCAAGTACTAAAATAAGTTTGTTTACCAAACAAGTGTATTTTGGTCAAACTAGCTTACAAGTTCTTCCAATATTTTTCCAAACACACTCATAATGAAGTTGTTTGATAAAGATGAAGTATGAAGGAAAGAAATTTAGTGTTAATGGGCCCCACTTAAAAACTTTACCGCACTTGCACGAGAAAATAGCCGTGAAATTTGTATAAAGTTAAAAAACAGACTAGATATAACGCTACTACCTAAGATAACTTATTCACCATATTTTGAGTCTTATCTCAGCCACTGAGTTGCTTGCATTTGCTCTCGCTAGATTTCATCTGATTTGCTTCAAACACAGGTAAATAAGAATGATATCTATTTTATGTTTAATATTGTGTAGTCCATTCGATTTCTCTTTACCTTTTTTTCCATAATCAAATTTTGATGATCTTGATTAGGGATGACAAATATACTCGTACCCGCAAGTAATACCCGAACCCGTCCCGACTTTGACGGGAAATATCCGGTTTGACCGGATATGGGTACGAGTATGAGTAAAACTCGATATATTAAATCGGGTACGGGTACGGGTACGGGTACGGGTACGGGTATGTACTT